TCAGGTCCTGTTTTATAAGACCAGCTTCACCAAGCATCACAAGAAAACTGCATATCTCCATTAATGTAAAAGCAAAAGGCTTTAATACAAGTCATATTAGTAATAGGATAATAGCCCATGGGCAAATGGATCACCCCCGGCTTTATAGATATAACTGATAAATAAAAATTATATATTATTTATAAGATTTTTATATATAGACATTGTAAAATAATTACTACAAACAAGCTGATATGTATCATCTCACAGTTATCTTTTTCTGGTGAGAACATTTAAGATCCAGTCTCTCAGCAAATTTCAAGATTTCAGTGTAGTATTAAAAGATCATCAACAGGCTATAATTAGCTCTCCAGAACTTACTCAGCTTATACCTGAAAGTTCGTACATTTTGACCAACATCTCCCTATTTCTCCTGCTCCTTGGCTATTGGCAACCACAATTCTATGCCACTTCTGAGTTTGATTTTTTGAAATTCCATATATAAGTGGGATTATATAATATTTGTGCCTCTATGACTGACTTCTTTGACTCAGTTAATGCCCCTCATACATTTTTCACAAATCATATGATTTCTATTCCTTTTTGTGTCACATATATTTTTACTGACTGACCCATCATTGGAGTCTTTGGTTGATTCCATATTGTGGCCCTTGTTAATAGGTTGTAGTGAATATGGGCATAACCAAGTAGGTTTATTCTACGAATTAACCAGTTGACATAACAAAAATCATAACAATCAAAATTAAAGTTAATTAATATAGTATATTAATGGAATAAATTTTAAAAGATATGATAATCTCAGATGTCAAAGAAAAAGCATTTGACAAAAAGTCCAGCATCTTTCCTGGGGGAAAAACAACAAAAACAGCAGGAAGCAATCTTAATGAAACCAGGAATAGAAAAGAATTTTCTCAAAGTAATAAACGGTATCTATGAAAAATCTATAGCTACCACCAGTCATATTGCATGGTGAAAGACAGGAAACAGATTAGGAACAAGGCATGGGTCTTCACTCTTACCACCTTTTCTAGCATTCTACTAGGCTCCCTCACAAGGCAAACTAGAAAAATAAATACTCAAATTGGAAAGGCAGAGGTAAAACAGTCTCTGCTCACAAATTAGCTGCTGTTATATGTAAAATATAAGGAATCTCAAAAAACTTATTAGAGCTAATAAGTTCAGCAAGGATATGGGATAAATGTATTTCAAATTTAGCTATATTTCTGTATATTAACACTGAACAATCAGGAATTAAAATTAAGAATTTCATTTATAGTAGAGGATGTGAAACTATTCTGGAATTGGACCACAGCAATGATGCTCTATTATATGAATATACTAAAACCAACTGAATTATGTATTTTTTAGAAGGTGACTTTTTGATATTTGAATCATATCTCAAAAATAATTACACATAGCAAAGACTTGTCTCCAACATACATCAGCAATCTTATAACTCGATAATAAAGAAAAAAAAATCCAACACAAAATGGGCAAAAAAATATAGACACTTCTTGAAAGGATATATATGAATGGCAAGAAATAGATGAAGGGTGCTTAACATACTGTTCATAAGAGAGGTACAGATTTGTATGAGTGAATACCAAGTGTTGGTAAAGATTTGGAGTACTAGAATTCTCATTCCTTACTGGTAGGAATGCAAAGTGGTATAGTCAACTGTAAAAGTTTACTTACTTAATTCAGCCAAATCTCACAATATCTATCAAATGAAATGAAAACATTTGTCCACATAAAGACTTTAAATAAATGTTCTCAACAACCAGTTAGTGATACTAAAAATGCCCAAAATCCATGAATGCATGAATAAAATGTGGTATAGTGTTAGAGCAGACTATTATTAAGCAATTAAAAGGAACATGACATTGATATATACGATAACATGACTGAACCTCAAAATATTACTCTGAAAGATACCAAAAACAGAAGACTACATACTGTATGATTCCACTTAAATGGCTATTTTAAAATTCTTAAGCTTATTGGTACATATTGATCATACTCATCATAGGGAATTTGTATCTGTTTTATGATATATCTTGATTCCTCTTTTGTTTTCTCATTTCCCTTCCCTCCCTTCATCTGCTCTTCCCCTCCTTATTTACAAAGCTTTGTTTCCATTTTGTCCTTCCTTTATCATTCTCCCACATCCCTACTTCCCCTTTCATTTGAATGATTTATTCCTATTTTACAAAACATTTTATACACTTTCATCCTTATTTACATTTTCACTATCTCACACCAGGGAAGCATTGATACTTACACATGTGCCTGATTTATTTCATTTAAGAGTATGGTCTTAAAGTGCATCCATTTACATAGAAATGTCTCAAGTTGAATATTTCTCACACCTAGAAAGAAATTAGGGAAATAACACCTTTTACAATAGCATCAAAAAAATGAAGTACTGAGGAATCAATCTGACAAAGAAAACTAAAGATCTATACATTGAAAATTACAGTACTTTGAAAAAAGTTGAAGAAGATAACAGAAAAATGTAAAGATATCCCTTGCTCATGGGTAAGAAGAAACAACGTTGTGAAAATGGTCATACTCCCCAAATTTTTATACAGATTTAATACAATCCCAGTCAGAGTACCATTAGCACACCTCACAGAACTAGAGAAAACATTCTTAAATTGTATTTGGAGCCAGAAGAGATCTAGAATAGCAAAAAACAATTCTAGGCAACAAAGGAGGATGGGGGCACCACAATCCCTGACTTGAAATTATACTACAAAGCCACTTTGATAAAAGCAGCATGGTACTGGCAAAAAGCAGATCTGAAGATCAGAGCAGATTGCAAGATGTAGACACAACTAAAAACACACTCAGTTACCTTATCTTTGACAAAGGGGCCAACTAACTGGGTGTGGTGGTGCACACCTGTAATGCTGGTACTTGAGAGGTGGGGCAGGAGGATCTGTGAGTTGGAGACCAGCCTGCACTACAAGTGAGCTCATGGTCAGCCTGAACTACACATAGTCTCAAAAAAGATGGGGGAGGGGGTGGCACAAGTATATGAAGAGTTTTTTAAAAGCTAAAAATATAATGCCAGAAAATAGTTAAGTGTTCCTTGGGGCCAGGAGTAAGTACCAAGATTGACTATATCAGCATGAGGGAGTTTTTTTGGGTGGAATTGTTCTAAAATTTTATTATGGTGTTAGTTGCATGCGTATATATGTATATTCATCAAAGTATACTAAAAATAGGTGAATTGTATGATGTGTATTTTTTACCTCAGAATGGTTTTTAAAAATTGCCTTCTATATACAAATGATTTATAGCTTTATTTCTGGAGTTTAAAAACTTAACATTTTTTTAAGCTTGCATATCATTTTACTCTTATTTTCCATTACATATTTTACAACTTTTACTTAAATATGTAAACTAGTTTAATTTGTAAATGTTTGTTAAATGTCTACTATGTGCCAAGCAGTAGGAGTACACTATCGCTACCTTCAGGGAACTGATAAGGAAGGACAATTTATTTTTAGTTACTAATAGAAAGCATAAACATAAGAGTGAATATAAAGATTTAAATCTGAATAGAACTGGGTGATCTGAGCTCATTAAGTGGGGCTAGGGAAAGCTTTCTTGACTGTCATTTTAGAGGATGACAGGAATGGATCCAGTGGACTGTAACATCTCTGGTATAGTCTTTGAGTAAATAAAGGATAGGGGAATATATTTGTGAGACTAATTTCCTGAAAATCAACTTCTGGATAAAAGTCCTCAGATCACTGATTCCTCTGGGAGTTTTTTGTTTAAGTAGTGAGTAGAGCTTCAGGTTGTCTGGCTCTTCAATGTCTCAGTTTAAAAAGAAAAAACTCTATTACCTTTTAAAAAGCTTAATATGCTTTATACTAATTCAGAGTCCAGATACATTATTTTGCACTGCCTCTTATGAATTCCGTGTTTTTACTATTGGTCTTTATGCATAACTTGTGCATTTTAAAATAAAACAATTTTATCTTTATCCCAAATTAACTTTGTTTGCATAGAATAGCTGTCTCTGCTGTTCATGAGAGCATAGTCTGGTACAACCACTGTGGAAATGAGTGTGGAGATTCCTCAAAAAAGTAGGGTTAGAGGTTAGAGGTCCCATTTGATCCAGCTATTCCTTTTGGGTATATTTCCAGAAAAATTGAATATATATGCACACTCATGGTTATAGCAGCAGTTTGTCATAGCTAAATCTTGGAAATAACCCAAGTGCCTATCACCTGAGGAATGTTGAAAAGTGTTTTTTTTATATAATTACTCAGCTATAAAGAAAGATAAACATGACTTTTATAGGTAAATGGGTACAACTAGAGACCGTACTTGTGTGTAGACATCATATTGTCTCCCTAGTGTAAAAAACTGAAAAAGTAATATATCCAGAAGTTATAATACATGCTGTGAAAGGAAAAGAAACTGCTCAAAAGGAAAGAACAATTGGGAAGAGGGAAAGGAGAAAAATATAAATCTATATACACACAATAGCTGAGATAATTTTACTACTAATTTGTATTGATTTATGGAAAGGAACAGTTAATGCCTAATTTGATCAGTTTGCTATGCCTATATCTTGTAATCTACAACTACTCTGAAGTTAACAATATGCAACATAACAACGATTGTTAATTTTCTATTGTGTTTTGAAATTCCATATTTTTTATTCTCTTTAAAATAAAAGATAACTGGCTTTTATAGACTAGTAATTCCATATATAACAACTCTATTTTAAAACTAAACTTAGAAAAGAAGTAAATGCTACGACACAGGAGTTAAATTTCAAAGAAAAATATTTTGGCTATAGTTTGGTATTTCAGCTAGGAACCCTTTTTCTTTCACTACTTCTACTCCCTTTATTTCAGTTGACCAACTAAGTTTTCTTACTGCTCTAAAGTAATTGAAGAGGATAACACTTAAAATATCTATAGTAGAAAATGTTCGTGATTAAGTGTCATGAGAGTATTCTATTTCCTGTCTAAAAGGAAGAAGAAGAATTTTCAGTTCTTGCTAGCTGCCTGGGACTTCTGCCAACATTTTACCAAACAGAACATCCATTCATCAGTGCCTCCTGTCTGGATTGGCCAGTTCCAGCATTTGATATTATAACTCAGTGGTGTTTTGAGATGAAATCATTTACTGAAAGACATGCAGAACAAGGAAAGGTAGGTAAAAAGAGTAGTACTCATTTGTCACACTGAAGATGTGCTAGTATGTAAGAGAATAATGATGAATTTTAAATTTCATGTCATTTGTTCTTCATAGTGTTTAATAACTGATTAAATTTAAAAAATTTTGCTCATATAAAAATTACTTATGAGTATAAAGGAGAAATACTTTAGTTGACAAAGGTAAGGTATTGTTACTGTTTTAGGCCAGCATGTCTTTATTGAATTCCTTAGATAATGAGGCTTGGAAGATTCAAAAGAATTTTAAAGTAAGCAAGGAACTTGTATTCTTTTTTTGGAAGAAAACTGTCTCCACATTTTAAAAAGTGATTGTTGAACCTATACTGCAAGCTCACCTTGTGAAAAGGTTTGTATTGGAGATGAAAACTGAGAGTAGAGTGGGGCAGCAGTGAGTGACTGGCTGTGAAAACCTTGGTTTGGTGCACAGACTTTCTTCTATACGTAGAACTACAATTTTTGAGAAATGAGATGTAATAAAAATAGTATTTTAGAGAGAGAATTCTGGTGGCTTTTGTTTGGGGGGGGGGTGAGGTCTTGAACGTACTGTGTAGCCTAGGGTGGCCTCAGACTTGCAGCAAATCTCCTGCCTCAGCCTCCCAAGTACTGGAATTGCAGGTGTATGCCTCCACAACCAGTCATTCTGGTAGCTTTTTAATAGAAGAGATAGAAAACAGAGACTGTTTGGAGGTATAGAAAGTCTGGGCTACTTTTCTGATAATAGAAGTTATAAAATAACTAATGTACAAAAATGTGTAAGTCTTGGAGACCAGAAGCTCATGACTTTAAGATCCTAAATAATTAGGAGAACAGTGACCACCTATTCACAGCTCTGCTTAAACATCTTGATGGTGCCGTATTGCTTATTGAAGAAGGTAAGGAATCCCAGTGTGGCAGGCAAGGACCTTCACCATTTGGCCTTTTCATCCTCACTTTACGCCACTCCTCTGTGTTGCCTTGCTTAAATCACAAAAGAACATTTCTGAAGTGTATTTCATGTTTTTAAACTTCTGTAGTGTTCTTATTGCTGCCATTTTTATCTAAATCAACCTTATCCTCTTTTGTTATGTTAATCAATTTTGAGGCTGTTAACTCTGCTGTGAAGATTGGTCTGAGTGATAGCCCATCCTCCTGTACCGTTTGTTCTAATCTAAAGTATATTTTTGTGACTTTCCCTAACACTTGCCATATTTATCATACTTTTTTCTTTTCATCTTCCTCCTCACCCCTCCCTCCCTTCTAGAAGTAAAACTCATGGTCTGACACCTCCTAAGTATGCATTTTAGCACTGAGCTACACCCTCAGTCCCTATTTATCATACTGTTTTTTTAATCTGTCTAAATGTAGCTCCACAGAGCAGAGTTTTATCTTCCTGTACTGGAGATTAAAGCTCTCTCCCACTGAGCTACAATCCCCAGTCCTAAATTTGTTTTGTATTTGTTCGTACATTCCTGATTCCTAGAAAATGCCTGATAGAGACTAGTCATCTAATAAATACTTGCGGAAGAGTTTTGTGGAGGGATGATATCATTGACAGAAGTACAACTGATAAAAGGAAAGTTTCAGGAAATGCTAAAAATTTCATTTTAAACATCAAAGGAATGGTAAAACCCCATTATTTCAGATAGAGGTGTTAGACAATTTTTAAAACATTGAAATGAGTAGTAAAGAAAAGTAATAAATATCTCTGCTTTTTATTTTAACTGAATGTTTAAGAAGATGCTGTTTTTTTTTGGCAGCAGTGCAGTGTGAAAGAAGATGCTTTCTTACACTTTTTTTTTTTTTTTTTTCCTCCTGTTTTAGAGAAAAGGAAGGGATCCATAGATGCAGGGATAAAGCATGCACTGAGAATGCAGGACATGCTCAGCAACCCCTCCCCAAAGAATTAGATCTTGTTATTACATATAAAGATCTTTTTCCTATCTAGTACCTTCTTTACTCAATAGATTATACCTAGATTGTAGGGTTACATTTTTATATCTTTAAGTCTGGGAGGAATGAGTTGGAGTGAGAGATGGGTGTAACTGTGGAACCACAGCAGGAGAGAAAGTGAGGAATGCCTTCAAAATTTTTGTCTTTGTATGAATGATGAGGAGTTAAGAATAAGTATACGTTTTTAAGGGAATGACTATGAATATGGACATTGTTAAAAAATAAGAACTGATCATTTAAAAATACTTCATCTTTTTGTAAAATTGAGTAACAGAGATTTATCTTAAGAGTCAGAGTAGTAAAGTATACCCTCACCTATTCTACATTTCCATTCTTGTCCTTCCTTTACTTTGTTCTGTTCCTGACTCTGGCCCTGGCCAGGGGCCGACCAGATTCTCTTTCCCAGGAATTTAACATTTGACTAGAGATACATGGTGTTACAAACTGAATAATCAAAAAGTTCCATCATTAGATAGCTATGAATTACTGCTTCTGGATTTTTCTGTCAGCTAGGATTCTTTAGTTGGATACAACAAAATTTAGTTCTGATTTAATGTAAGGAAAATGAAGCAGAAGTTAAAAAAAAATTACAAGATTTGGTGGGGGAATGCTGGGTAACTTGTGGAGTTGAATAAGAGCTGAATTGCCATCTGTTGGGAAGAAGAAAAACCAGGAGGATCTCTGGCCTTTTTTTTGGAAGTGCTGTAACTAGATGATTCTGCCTCAACTCCTTTCCTTTCTTTCAAATGTGTGCTCAATACTTAGATTCCTGGGAGAAAAAAATCTGATGGGCTAACTGGAATCAATCATCCCGGGAGTTTGGCAGCATCTTATCATCAGAATTGTATGGAGAACAGGAAAAGTGGTTGTTTTTTCCAAAAACAACTTGTAATGCTATTAATATATCAGCAGAAGAAAATGATAGGCAGACTTTAGAAACCAACAGACTAGTGGCCCATTACATTGTTACCTGCCCAGCACAAATACATCCTTCTTAAAAACAAAAACAAAAACAAAACAAGACAAAAAAATCAAATACATCCTTCTTGTTCAGAAAGTTCCACTTCTGCCACTGTCCAAAGTGATGCAACTATGCCATTTATAAATTCAAATGCATTAATGATTTTTCAAAATAAGCCACCTGTAATAGCATTCAGTATTTACACACTAGGGCTCCCTGCATCTAATGTCTGTTCCACCTCTGATCTGTTAGACCTCTATGTTTTAGAAAATTTTAGTTAACGCTTTGTCATCCTGAACTCAATAGTAAGAGTAAAAGGGAATGAAAATGAAAAATATGTGGGGTCAGGGAGATAGCTCAGTAGATTAAGTGCCTGCCAGGCAAGTGCAAGATGCTGAGTTCAAATCCTTGTACAAAAAGAAAGAAAAATATGTAGCACAATAAACAAGAGAATTTATTGCATACATGACTATCTTACTCTTTTTTGTTTGGTTGCCTCAAATGGTTGTGTTTGTTTAATGAAGGAAATTACCCTCACTTTGTTCTGAGAGAACTCATCTTCCTGTTTTTGGTCCTGTCTTCTTTGTATAATGTTATAATTTTGCAAAACTATTTTATCTTTCAAGCTTGGTACATGACAGGAATGGAAGTTGGGGGTTCCTAAGTTCCAAAGCTCTGCTATCATTTATGTGATAATGCTTTTATTCTTCTTAGTAGGTGTGTCAGTCCCTCCAGATCATGCCATAAAACAATCTCATTTGTTCTACTGGTATGAAGAACCTGTGATAGTCAGATGACATTTAGATACTAATTCAGGAGGATTATTATATCCCCTGATAAATGATAGTACACAGCTTCTTTAGATATTGAAACTACAGAAGAGTCTGGTAGATTAGAGAAGCACAAATTTCTTTTTATTTTATTTTTATTTATTACTGATTAATAGGACAGTTTCAATAATTAATACATTGTACATTATTATAGTATGAGTTGCATACAGGATATCCTGTCCAAACACTATTAGTACACCTCTTTCTTCTCATTGAATTAAGCAAAAGTAACTGTATATCTATCCTAACTATTCTGCATACACAGATAAAAAATGGTCCTTCCTTTGTATCCTCTTTTTTTGTTTAGTCCTGTCAGAAATGGGTATTCCATTGGCATCTAAATACTATAGGTGCATGAATTCAGCAAAACAATCCAACACAGTCCAACAGTCCACAACAGTAGTGGGTTATCCACAGAAGTTGTTGAGTGGAGCCTTTCACAGCTCAGCATATTAATATGGCTTTACTTTATATAACTCGTTTTTATACTTTTCTACTGGATGGTTAAGACCAAGATAAAGCAAGACCTCAATAACAAGAAATGTAACTTTTGTATCTGATAAGGTCAGTCAAGTACCCTCAGGATTTATCCTGTAACCCTGTACTGCAGTTTGCAGATCCTTTATCAGTGTCAGCCATGTGGATAAGCATGTCCATTACTTGACCAATTTGCTCTCTGTGAAAGTCTGAGAGAATGAATTCTCTCCATGTGACTCTCCTTAGGCACACTCTATGTCATCGATCACATTGCTTTGTGGCCCCATAGTCTCCTTGATCAGAAAATTTGGGACACAATGAGTTACATGATGTTACAGTATAGGTTCTCCTATGTCCTGAGTCTTCACTGACCTTGAAAGGCTAGGGTCAAAATGTTGGCTCTCCTGTAGCCCTTCTATTTCTCTAATTTGTGGTCTGCAAATTTAGGTTGTTAACCCTCCAGAAGAGAAGCTTATTATTACCCTGCAACGTATGCAGTTGGATTTAACTTCACTATCTGTCTGAATATGAAGCATCTTAGGCATAACGTGGAACAGGTATTTTCCATCAAGTATTGATATGTTAAACTTTAAGTCCGTACAGAATATGGAGATAAAAATTAAAAAAATGAAAAATATTTAAAGAATATGAATAAACAATTACATATTTTTTATACAGAAATTTAGAAATTGAACCATACACACCATTATAGCAGGACAGTCCTGGAGAAGCACAAATTTCAAGCCAAGATTTTAGGTGTAATCATGAGCAGTGACATGATCATTTTCTAACTCCTAGTTCCTGTGCCTATACAGTCCAGCCTTGAGAAAGATCACCCATGTATATTGGCTGCTTAGAGTATACAGCTAATTATGTAGGAGCACATACCTTATTCCCTAGGTTCGTTTTTCCCCCCCAGCTAATGCCATCTAAAGTCCATCAGTTCGCAACTCACCCTTTAGAAGACTAGTAGTGACTGAGTATATGTTATGATCAGTGAATTCTGTGGACAGTCATCTGTTGCCTTTTGTTTCACTTTTTAAAGGAAACTCTTGAACTAGAGACTGTGGTAGAGACCATGAAGTAATATACTAGTGACCTGAGTAGGTGTCAGTTCTGTGCAGGGCAACCACTGTCCCTTCCACCCTTGGAAGGGTTCCAATCAGCCTGTTACAGAGTGGGTCCTCTCACAGAAGCTAAAACAGAATATAATTTTTAGGGTCCAGGGTTGGGTGTGGAGTCCTGTCAAGTGGCACATTATAGGCCCACATATGGCACTTAAGTTTGTTTCCATGGCCACCTTATCCATGAACTGATTGGCAAAAAGCAAGCTAGCTGCTTATCTACTCTTGATTTGGACCAAGATGGTTGATGCAGATGAGATGAAGCTGTACGAACTTGCTTGCTTTTCATATAGTTTCTAAGATAATAATTCACACTGCATTTCATCTATTTTAGGTGTAGAGTAACAAAAAAAATTTGTTAGAGCCAGATGTGATAGGTGGCATATGCCTGTAATCCCAGCACTCAGGAAACTGAGGCAGGAGGATCACCGAGAGTTTGAGGCCAGCCTGGGCTACATATTAAGTTCAAGGTCATCTTTGAACTTACTTGGAACTACATAGTGAGACCCTATCTCAAAAAAAATTTTTTTTGATGTTATTTCTAGTATTTTTACACAGCTACAGTGCAAATAGTAAATAAAGTACACTCTGCAGAGAAATGTAGCTAACTTGGTGGTTTGTTTTTTGTTTTCATACTTAAAGAAGTACATTTACTTAAAAAATAGTCATCCCTGGGGCCGGGGAGATGGCTCAGTAGAATAAGCACTTCCCTGGCAAGCACAAGGGTCTGAGTTGAATCCCTGGTTCCGCAAAAACAAACAAACAAACAAACAAACAAAAAAAAAACTAGCCCCGGTACTTGTGGATACAGGTGCTGATGTTAATAGCTTGAAGTCTAATGAATTTTAGGTATTCTAAAAATAATTAAAACAGAAATCAGCCCTGCCCTGGGCATGCTGAGCCAGCCACCAAGACTGGGCATCATGGTACGCACCTGTAATCCCAGTGCTGGGGAGGTTAAAACAGGAGGATCATTATGAGTCTGAGCTGCATAGTGAGATCCTGTACCAAATACATAAAACAATTTAAAAAAAAATCATAAGTTATAAGTTTCTCCTTAAAAAAAAAGCTGATGAATTATTTATCTGAGAAATGTCAAAATGTTGTTTTAAAAAAAATGTAAAGCAATTTAAAGCTTTTACATCACGTATTTATTTATTTATTTATTTATTTATTTATTTTTATTTTTTTGCAGGGCTGGGGATTAAACTCAGGCTTTTGAGCTTGCCAGGCAAGCGCTTATTCAACTAAGCTATCTCCCCAGCCTCTGTGTTAGGTATTTTAAAAGACAAATACAGATGGTTTCCATAGATGCTTAGAAATATTTTTTTTCTTTTAGAATAATATTGAGTTTATATATGGTTTTTAAAATAGATGTATTGCAATTGAAATCATATGAAAATAATGTTGTTATGTATAAGGTGAAAAAAAGACATGTTAAGAAAGTAGGTCATATTCTTCGAGGAAGGTTTTCTTTTTTTTAAAAAAAAAAATCTTTAGGCTTGGTGGCACATGCTGATAGTCCCAGCTACGAGAGAGGCTGAAGCAGGAGGATTGTGAATTTGAGGCCAGTCTGTGCAATAACAGGTTCTTGTCTCAAAAAAAGAAAAATTCTTTCTAAAAATAAATATTTTGTATTGGTGTCCTAAGTACATAAGATTAATAACATTTTTGGGTGTTTTAGGCCTTGCTTATCCAAGAGTCAAGATGGAAGTTACCACACCTATTACAGTTGCCTGAAAATTACAATACCATTTTCCAGTACTACCACAGAAAAACCTGTAGTGTCTGCACCAAGGTTCCTAAGGACCCTGCTGTTTGCCTTGTTTGTGGTACTTTTGTGTGCCTGAAAGGACTTTGCTGCAAGCAACAAAGTTATTGTGAATGTGTATTGGTAAGCAAAAGGGAGTAGTACAGAATTTATGAAAACTCAGATCTCTTGAAAATCTGATGTATGTCATCAAATCAGAGCATTACATTTAATATAGTGTTGGAATTGAATGTATTGGTACTATATAATGAGATTATATTTTGTTTTTTTAATCTAGTGGAAGAGGGAAAAAAAATTTAAAAACCCAAGGTTGTATTTTAGTGGGTAAAGCTTTTCTTAAATGCAATTCCAGCTCTTCTGTTTTCTCTTAATTTTAATGGTACAGACTTTTAAATGTTCTGTGAAACAACAGTCATTTGTATTGTTAAGAATGCTAGCTTGTTGAATTACACTGGCTATTAATTGCTCTTCTAGATAATACTTCTCCACTTTTCTCCTGATATATTAATAAAGGGTTGCATGTTTAACATTGGTGAAATCTTATTTTAAAAATTTAAATATCTCATTTGGGAGGCATTTAGTCAAGATGTTCTTGATTTTGTCATAAAACCCACTTATAAAATGAATTGATGTATTTTAAATTTTTTAGCATTCCCAGAATTGTGGTGCTGGAACAGGGATCTTCCTTTTGATCAATGCATCAGTGATTATCATTATTCGAGGTCACCGCTTCTGCCTCTGGGGTTCCGTTTATTTGGATGCTCATGGAGAAGAAGACCGGGATCTTAGGTAGGATCTGTGTAGATTCATCCAGGGGTATTATTGAAATTTGATCAATAAAAACCAGTATGCCATTTTGGGCTTTATAGTTAGATTTTGAAAAAAATAAGTTAGGATAATTAATTTAGAATAATTTCCAGTTTTTCAGATACTTAACCTATCAGTATGTTGAGGAAATGTGCAATAAACCAAATTACTGATATTTCTGCCACAAAGAACCTATTTTTAAAAAATGCATGTGAAATGTTCATTGTGTTATATTATTTTTAATACTATTTTCTCTGTTCTAGGCGAGGCAAGCCTCTCTACATTTGTAAGGAAAGATACAAAGTTCTTGAACAACAGTGGATTTCTCATACTTTTGATCACATCAATAAAAGATGGGGTCCACATTATAATGGACTATGACTTATCACCTCAGCATTTCATCGTATCATCATTTTCATTAGGAATTTATTTTATCAACAATAAGCTTTAACTTAATTTAGAGGATTAATGCTTTTGCTGAAGGAAAAAAAGAAAACATACATTATGAAGCCTTTTCAAAATTAGGTGCTTGGTAATTACATTAATGGTATAATGATTTTTTTAAAGTGTCTGGAAAATTTAACAATTAAGTTCAAATCATTCTTCAGTGGTCATTTTTTTAAGTGCACAATTAATAAAAAGCACAATGTGTTCACAAAATCATTGAGAAACAGTTCTCCCAACAATGCATATCAGCTATTTATTGACACTTAGAGTGGGTGTGATTTATTTGAAGTTTTACTGCTTCTATGTTTTAATTTGCATCTCCTCAACATAATGCATCCTTTTTCTCTACCATTCTTGTGTTGATTTGAGATTTTTGCTGTATGTAATTAGAAAAATATGTAAAACATGATTTATGTGAAATATTGTATAGTAAAAGTTGGTCTAATAGTAGAATTTTAAAAATTTTTCTTATTGTGAGGATCTGTTAAAAGTTTAAGGCTTTGCTGAAAACTTAATCCATTCTCAGGAATTTCATAAATATTTTCCCCAGGTAAATAATTGAAATATCTGTAAAATAAGTAGATAGCTGCTGTTAATATAATACAGTACCTTTGGGGGAGTATATGTGTGGTTGGGAAATACTTAAAAGTTAGAGTTTTGGGGTTGCAGATGTAGCTCAGTGGAGAGTGCTTGCCTACCATGCACAAGGCACTGGGTTTGATCTTAAGAACCAAAAAAGAATCAAAATTATTAAAACTTACCATTTCATTAGGGTGAATTATTGCAAGTAATAATAAATACATTTTTACTATAAAATCAAAGTTTTAGAACATACATGTGACAGATTTTGAATCTGTTCATGCCTGCCTTTTATTACTAACAAAATTTCTGTTTGTGTGATTGGACTGGAAATGCTCATACTTCCTAACAAGTGAACCCTAAGTTTTAGAACTTCTCTGTCAGCTCAGAAGTTCAGCTCTATTGTATTCATGCAGTCTCATCACTGTTATTTCTGCTTGGCTTCCTAGAAGGAAAAAGAAAAAAAGTAGTAATGACTCCTCATGAATGAGCCATGCATCCACATTCTTGGAAACCGCTGTGAAAAGCAATTTATATTGTAGGGTTTTTAAATCAGTAAGAAAGAGAATGATTGAACTCAAACCCACTCTAGAATTAGGAAAGAAAGTTTACAGAAAAGCATGTTATATATTGCTGCCAAGATCTTTTTCAAGTGATTCAGTAATTTGATAATCATTTCATACTAGTATTATCAAACAATTTCTGGTAGTTTGGACTTCCATGGCTTGTTATATATAATTACTTTTTTACATGTAAGAATAAGAAATGTCTGATAAAATATGAAAATAACATTAGATCCATGTTGCAAAATTTCTTAAATGACATGACATTATAAAATATGAAAATGAACATTAAATGATGGGTTTGCATTAAAATAGGGAAAACAGAGCAGTACATATTCAAATGTGTTCAAAACATCAAAAATTAGGCATTCTATAAAAGAAAATACATGGAAATAGCTTGCTATTTTTGTATACATTTCCAAAATATTAAGATAACTTTCTGTAATACTAGACTGATTCTGTTTGACTAAATCACTGTTCTTCTCAACACATTGCTACTTTTTAAATATTGTATCATAAGTTCAGCCTGTCATATTTTTTGCATTGCTCATTATGGATACCAGACCATTTGTAAGTGTGGTTGAAGAGCAAAGTGCTTATTTACATCTCTAGTAAACACTGTTACAGGATTCATGAACTTGAATAATTCTGCAGTTTGAAACTCTGATACTATATATACATGGTATAATGTATTCAGACTTTGATTACTACATATTTAAAATGGAATGTTTTATGGTTGTGCATATGGATGTGAAGTGAAAATATTAGCCTTAACTTTAAAATTTGGGTATTTGATAGTGTTTATTTTGATATTGGTGAATTAGTCACCAGTAAATTTTGAAAAGGCACTTGGTTGAAAATTGTACTTGAATACATACATGCATGCTGCTAAACTAGAACTTTAATTTTGCCCATAACTTTTATAAGTCCCATTTATAAGCCCACTTTTAAAAATAACAGGTCCAAGTTAGAGTGATGTGTGTATATTATTCAAAAAATGTACTGGTGTGATATCTTGTATGAATGATCATTTAAATACAGTACATTACTGTAGAAACTAAATCAACCTTTATAATTAAGCAGAAATTATAAACTAGGAATAATCAACATTGTAAGATATGTTAATAAACACTTACTGTCATTTGGTTTGTGAAAGGTCCTTAAATTGTTTAATGCTTTTTTCTTTTTTTTTTTTTGTTCCAAAGATGTTGACAATAATATATGTGAGCATGGCTTAAAAGAGCAAAAATAACGTAACTATTAGTTGCCTTACAGTGGAGTAAGTATAAAAGGTTTGCTTTATTTTTTGCCTTTATTTGCAGAGCAGGTTTTGTCCTGGTCTCATAGCCAATGTGAACCCTTTGCTAAGATGTTTCTGGGAGAGGAAGAAAGAAATGGGTGTGGAGATCCAAACACTGATGTTGTCTGGCCCCTCCTCATTTCCAAAAGTTTCCAGCTACACTTGGAATATAAAGTGCTTCATGATGAGTGTATATTTTGAGTAGTCTTTGGTCTTGTTTGAAGTGACAGCTCTCATCTCTTGCCTCTCCATCCTGAGGCTCACCAGCTAGTTATCAACTAGGAATCTATTTTGATTCTCAGATGTTTTTGGTTCTGTGCATTTTGCTGTTACTGATTTCTGTAACTTAGAAAAAATGCAGACTAAAAGCACTGACCATTTGGAGGTAATAGCAGTATGGAAAGAAATGTCCCAGGCCTGTACCATCTCCAGAATTGTATTGCTGACCCTCACGTTCCTGTTGTTGGCTTGTATTTTAGGTCAGGTTGGGGGAAAAATGAGAAAAAAGAAACAAGCATTGTTTTAGCCACTAGAATCAAATCATAAAGGCAAGATGTGCATTCACTGGTAGGTATGCATGATATTTGATGTTTGTGAGACAGCAGATGACTTGTTAGTATGTCTTAGTACTTCCTGTTGACTGGACATAAGCCTTCCCTCTATGGCCTTACAATCTGGCTGGATCATACCAAGCACTATTTAGTTCAGTGAGGATCATCAGGAGTGGACAGAAGGAATGCGATGTGATTACTTCTCTGTTTATACACTTCAGGCTCTCTGTTAATAATCATCAAGTATGGAAGGGCTATTAATTGCCCTCCTACTGCATAGTCATCAAGTAGCAGTGGAATGAATGTGCTCCAGTAGGTGGAACACAATGATAAGGCACAATGAGACTTGTATGGATTTGCCTCTCTATGAATTAATATATGAAGTGACTACCAAATTGCTGAAAGAAGGCCCAAGAGCACAGCAGTAGTTCACAAGCATAGAGGGCCAGCAAGATAGCTTAGTATACAAAGCGCCTAAATTTCAAAAAAAGTGTATTCAGAGTATTTTAGACTTTTTTTCTGAGAATGCAGTAGAGACTTTGGACAGTAGAGTGACAGAAGCAGATGTGCAATTTAGAAAAGTAACCATGGCCAGCAGGATAGCTCAGTGGCATAAGTGCCTGCCTGGCAAATGCAAGGTCCTGACTTCAATCCCTGATACCAAAAAAAAAAAAAAAAAGAAAAGAAAAATAATCATGGCCACTCTACAGAGAAAAATCCAGCATAGAGAGATGTGCTGGGTCTAACTGTTAAGTCCAAGTGCAAGATGATAGTGGACCTGACTTTGCAAATTGTAGGAATTTAGAGGTATGGACAGTGTCAGACCCCACACAGTTCATTAGAGGAAAAAGAGCAAAAAATATTAAATGTCTGCTGTGTACCAGGCGCTAAGCTACATGCTTGGGACACATTGGGCAAGACAGGAAGTATCTGCTTTTAGTCTGATGGAAAACACACATTACCTAATAACAGGTTATCTGGATGGTAGTGAGTGAAGTAGTGGGCTCTGGGGGCCTTGGACTCTTATTTTTTTATTTTTTATTTATTTATTTTTTAAATTTATTTATTTGTGTGTGTGTGTGTGTGGCCTGCTCAGCCCACCAGGGGGCGGGGCTGGCTGGCATGTGGTGCTGGGGGATTGAACCGTGGTCCCTGTGCTTTGCTAAGCTTGTTCTAAGTAGGTGCTTTAGACCACTGAGCCATCTCACCAGCCCCATGGACTCTTATTTTGGGGAGTTCATGAAAGACCAAAAGGAATGATGCTTACACTGAGACTTGAAGAAAGGTAGCAGTGTGAATGAGGGAGGACGTGGCTCAGGTTTAGGGTGTCTTCCCTGAGAGCAGCATGAGCAGATTTCAGGAAACTGAAGGAAGCACAGTGTGGCTGTAGCATAGAAGCAGAATGGAGTATAATAAGAGATGATGCAGAAAAAAATCAAGATTCAGCCCATGGCTTCTGGAACCCACTTGGTGGATGCTTGTCTTTGTGGCTTTTTATTTGTAACCTCAGTTTAAGGTAGAGGCTAGCAAATCTTTTCTATTAAGGACCAGATGGTTCTCATCACACTGCTGAACTTTGTCATTGTGAGGCAAAAACAGTCATAGACATTTCAAGTGCAAGACACTGTAAAATGTAACGCACAAGAGCAGGTGTAGAGAATGAGAGGAAGAGAACAGAAAGATTGGAAAAACCATTTAGGAGGGAGTTGAGTAGCCAGAGAAGAGAGAAAGTTTTGTGCCAAGGCAGTAACAGAAACAACTTGTATTCTAGCCTGGTGGGTGGTAGTGTTATCTTACAAATTAGGAAAACAGTGAAAGGGGCTCAGATGTGGAAGTGGAATACAGTATATACAGATTTTGAAATGTTAAGTGAGGGGCTGCTGTGGGTTCTCCCCATGGTCTTGTGGTAATTAATGTATCTGAAGACAGGTTGCAGAGGTTAAAGTTGTAAAAGGGAGATCCAGATGGGGGATTCATGGCCTGTGAATTGTAACTGAACCTGTGGGAAGGGACAGCTCAAGGCAGAGGACGGCCTGTGATAGTGCCCTAGACTAAGCGCCTTCATTTAGAGGTAGCAGAAGATAAGGAGCTGAGGACAGAGTTGAGAAGGTCTATTGGGAGAGGAGAAAAGTTAGAATGAGAAATCCTAGGAAAAAGGGTATTTTAAGAAGTAGTGGTCCACAAATATCAGGTGCTATGGAGAGATTAAGCTAAAACAAAAACATACACGCTGGACTTCGTGATGAAGTATGAGAGCTTTGACAAGGATAGTTTTGGTGAAGCAGTAGGACTAGCAGCCAAGACTTAGCTGATGGAATTGAGAAAGAAAATTTGTATAGTAATGTGGAGGAATAGAATGCCATTTTTCATATCTTCTTTGCACAACCAGAGTTTACCTTGTGTGCTGGACACTTGGCCAAGCATGCAATTTGGATGTAATAGTGCAGTACTCTGGGAAGCTGAGGCAGGACAATAGCAAGTTCAAGACCACCCTGGGCTACTTACTTTCTTTCCAAGACCCCCCTCTCCTGCCTTAAAAATAAAGAATGGGCTAGGTCTAGCTTAGTTTAAAGGTCCTGGGTTCAGGTCCCAGTTCTACCCAAATGAAATTTCAAGTGACAGAAAAACCAAAACAATAACTTAAAGAGGTTTGTAGCCAGGAGTGGTGGTGGTGCGTCTATAATCCTAGCACTGTGGGTGGGGGGTGGGGGGTGGAGGCCTGAAGCAGGAGGATCGCAGCAAGTTTGAAGCCAGCATGGACTACATAGTGAGACCCTGTCTCAGCAAATAAAGAGGTTAGTTAGTTTCAGGTAAAAGGAAGTCTGAAGGTCACCATACCTGGGAAACAGGCAGCTGCTCAAGGATACCATGGCCTACCCTAGAACATTTCCAGTTTTCCTTTTCCCTGTTGTTACATGCTAGGTTCCATTCTGGTGGCTGCAAATCTCCCAGTACATCATACCAGTGAAATCAAGATGGCAGCTCATCTTGTTTTCCAGATAGGATAAAGGAAAATAGATCAAAACACATCTCATTAGTCAGTAATGTTAGCTGCCAATGACTAAATGCAAATAAACCTGGGAAGGTATGTATTTTAGCTTTTTAATCCTTATGATAGAGGAAGAAAGAAGAAAAAAGAGTAGCATTTCTTGGCTAATTCAGTATCAGCTCTACTTTTTTTTTTTAAGTCTTTTTTTTAAACCAGGAATTGAACTCGGGACCTTGGTCTTGCCAGGCAGACGCTGTGGCATTGAGCTGTATCCTCTAGTATCTGCCCCATTGTATCTCATCTGTGCAGGAAAGACCATAGTTAACATGATTCAATGAACATAGATACATCTGCCTTCCAGTTCTGGCAGATTGTTTCAGACTGATAACGTTAATTATTGGTAGCTATATAACAGTTTATCCTAGATCCAAGTGTGGTAGTGCATGCCTGTAATCCTAGCTCTCAAGAGGCTGAGGCAAGAGGATAGCCATATGTTCAAGGCCAGCCTAGACTACATAGCAAGATCCTGTCTCAGCAACAACAATGACACGTTACCCTAAAACTTAATGCCACAGTACAGTTTGCATTATATCACAGTTTTAGAATTAGGAATCCAGAGGCAGCTTTCATGGGTGGTTCTGTCCAAGGTGTTTTATGTGGCTGAACTTACAGTGTCAACCAGGGCAACAATGAGCAGGCTGACTGGAGCTAGAGGATCTGCTTCTAAATTTATTCACGTGTCTACTGGCCAGAGGCTGCAGTTTCCTGCCATGAGGGCCTCAGTAGGGCTAATAGCACAGCAGCTGATCTCCCCAGGACAGTGATTCAAAGGAAGGCAGGAGACAGAGAACATACTCAAAAAAGAACTTTTTATGAAAGTTCTGTTATCTTTCCCTCTGTCTCCCTTCATCTCTTTCCCCTTTCCTTCCCCAGAGAGGACTTGATGCATGCTAGGCAAATGCTCTGTTACTGAGCTACATCTCCCCACCACCCGATGTCCTTTGTTACCTAATCTTGGATGTGGCATATTAATTCTGTCAAATGTATCAACCCTGATGGGAGGGTTGATACACGAGAGTACAGATACTTAAAGGTGGAGATCATTGGGGTTCATCTTACTGGAAAGGACTTAAAATGCAAAGTAGGCAGGCAAAACAGTAATGAAGGACCAGCCTTTGCATAGTCCTAAAGCATGTCTCCAAAGGTTTATATTACAAAGGGAAAGGTGGAAAGAGAAACCATAAAGAAATATGGTGAATAACGCTTTAGCCAAGTGGTTAAGTACATTTTCTCAATTTTAT